CCTGTAGTCCTAGCTACTTGGGAGGATGACGTAGGAAAATTGCTTCAGCTCAGCAGCACAAGGCTGTGGTATATGATCATGCCACTGCACTCCAGTCTGTGACAGAGCAAGAGCTATATAATTGCAGTCTGTCCTGCTCCTGTTTATGTTAAAATGCTTTCAATCAGCAGGATAAAATTTAAGTGAAATGTGACTTTGGGAGGTTGGCCAGAAAATAGGCAATGGAGAACAGGCACTTCCCATGAGAAAAAAATGACCAATAAGCATATAAAAAGATTCAAGCTGGGTGCCAAGGGCTCATGTCTGTAATCCCAGCACTTTAGGAGGCCAAGGCGGGTGGAACACCTGAGGTCAGGAGTTCGAGACCGGCCTGACCAACATGGTGAAACCCCATCTCTACTTGAAAATACAAAAATTAGCCAGGTATGGTGTATGGTACCTGTAATCTCAGCTGCTTGGGAAGCTGAGGCAGGAGAATGGCTTGAACCCAGGAGACAGAGGTTGCAGTGAGCCGAGATTGCACTGTTGCATTCCAGCCTGGGTGATAGAGCAAGACTCCATCTAAAAAAAAAAAAAAGTTCCAAAGCACTAGAAACCAAAGAAATGCAATGAAAACAATGAGATTTTCTCCCAAATACCAGTAAAGTGACAAATGGAAGGGGAACATTGAGCTCTGCCACTTTGGGAGTATAAACTCTGAACCACTTTTTCTGCAGGATAATTTGAAAATTTCTATGAAAAATCTTAAAAGTGTTTTTATGTTATTTTCTCCAGAATTCTACCTATGAATTCAGCCCAAAAATGCTTGCTTGCATCCATTAAAATATATATATAAGAAAATTTACTTCTGGGGTGACAATGATTAACTTAATATACATCAAGCTTTTAAAAAGGATGATGCCAAGGATATATTTACTGCCATAGAAATATGCCTAAACATAGTGACAAAAGACTATATATTATGATTCTACTTTTTAAAATGTTCAAATGCATAAAGAAGTATAAGAAACAACAAACCAGAATGTTTTGAGTGGCACATTAAAAAGACTTTTCTTCATATTTTGTCTTCCAAATTATTACAAAAGAAGGCATTTTCTTTATAACTTAGGAGAAGTATTATTTTCATTTATTTACATTTAAATTTTCCTTATTTTTTCTCATGTATGTATCACATGTACTCTAGAGAGCTTGAATCCCTACCTCTTGAGGAATCAGACCATTTGTCTCCACTTCAACTTTGCCTTTCTGGACATTTCAAATCAATGGAATTATACACATGTGTTCTCCTGTCTGGTTTTTTACTTAGCTAATGTTTTTGAGGTTATCCATGATATATGACAGGGTTTTGGTAGTTTGTTCTTCATTACTGAGGGAAGTCCACCAATGGATATAGTACATTTTGTCAGCAGAGATTTTTAAACTTCGATTTCAACTCTCCCTGTGGTCTAAATGAAACCCCGAACACAGGACTTAGGAAGCCAAGGTATGTCAAAATAATTACCAGCAGAACCAGCTTTGTCCTCAGGAGCCTGAACTGCTGCAGACATTTTTATTATTTTGCAACTTCTTTTTCACAAGTGTTTTGTTCCCTACTACTACATCAGACTTTAACACCCTGATACATCCATCGAATAAGCATGAGCATGTGTCTGAGTGACAAGTGAAACCATCTATGCTAATACTACATATTTTTTCCTCCCCAGACTGGACCAGGGAATCTCAGCTTTCTAGAGTACTTTCCACACTGACAAAGCCTAACAGTACAAGACCCCAAGGCCTCGTTAGGCAGATTTGGAGGGGAGGCCCAGCAGCAAGGTGAGAGGAAAAAGAGAGGGAGTTTGTGGAACAGGGCCCCTGGGTCCGTACATGGCTCCCTGCTGTTGAGGATGTTGTGGATGGGGAAGTGCTGATGGTGTCCTGAGGCAGCCTAGCACCTCCACTGGGCCCAGAAGGTCTTGACTTTGGAAGCTTACCCATGTTCCAGAAGTGTTTAAAAGCTGTTTTTGCTTTTGTTCTTTTCATAAGAAATCATTACTTGGTAGTTAGTTATTTATTCTCTTTGGGAGAGGGACTAGCTTTAAAACTGAAGAACATAATTTTCATTAAAAATATCAAAATGAAAAAGTTACTTGAAACAATTTGGTTCTTACAAACCAAATGATAGCTGCTGAGAATCTCAATAAAAGGTTAAATGCATTTGCTGCTGTTAGAAGAAATAAAGAAAAAAATTAGAATAAAGAAAAAATGCATTTGCTGGGTAGAGTGTACCTATTAGCCTAAGGTTGGGTCACCGCATATTAACATATTGTGGTGGGGGTTATGGGTGGTGCATATGTGGAAACTTTTCATCTCAGGTTGGATCATAATCTGAAGGCAGTTTTTCTTCTTCCAAATAGGCTAAAAGTAGGAAAACATGGGCTGAAGTGACAGACCTGGAGGAACCAGATCAGCTTAAAGAAAACTCCAATAAAACTAACTTTTTAACAATCCTGAGGTTATTTTTAAATAATAGATACAATGATTTACTTTAAGATCTGCTGGTGATTTTGAAATTAGTAAAACATACTGTCTCAACTCTTTTTTCTTATGGAAACAGAGGTTTCACTCAGAAACCATAAACACTGATTTTTTGAAAGACAGGTCACTCTGTCATACAAGCTGCAGGAGCAGATCTCAGCTCCCTGCAGCCCCACCTCCCACCTAGCCTCCCAAGCAGCTGGGACTACAGCACCACCGCGTCCGGCCAATTTATTTCATTTCCTAGTACAGATGGGGTTTTGGCTCTGTTGCCCAGGTGGTCTCAACTTCTAGGCCCAAGTGGTTCACCCACTCAGCCTCCCAAAGTGTCTCTGGGTCCACAGGCATCAGCCAGTGTCCAACCTCGCAGACTTTTAAAACATAAGTTCAAGCATCTGGTCTTAAACCTTTAATTGGAGGTATCTCTTCTCTCAGCTTTTTCTCATCTTTGGTGCTCCTCAGAGTTCACTGCTGACTGGATGTACAACATATATTTGGAAAGTCAAGGCTGACTCGGTGCAGTGACTCATGCCTATAATTGCAGGACTTTGGGAGCCCAAGGCAGGCAGATTGCTTGGGTCCAGGAGTCCTAGACCAGCCTGATCAACATGGAGAAACCCTATCTCTACTAAAAATACAAAAATTAGCCAGATGTGGTGGTGCATGCCTGTAATCTCAGCTACTCAGGAGGCTAAGGCAGGAGAATCGCTTGAATCCAGGAGGTAGAGGTTGGGTGGAGTCGAGATCATGCCATCACACTCCAGCCTGGGCAACAAGAGTGAGACTCCATCTCAGAAACAAAACCAAACACAAAAACTAGAACAACTTTCTTCTGGAGTAGTCTAGGTGTGCCACCACCTAACCTACCGAAGGAAACTCCAGATCCTTTCCTATTTCTCCCAGTTACAAGGCACTGTTACAAGGTTCAGACTATCCAGAAATAAAAAGCTGAAATAGCAAATGCTATGCATTTGTGGAGTTTAAGTCTGAGGATTTTGCCAAGATAGTTGCTGAAACAATGAACAACTACCTGTTTGGTGAAAGACTCTTGGAGAGTCATTTTATGCCACCTGAAAAGTACAGAAAGAACTCTTTTCAAGACTGAGTATTCTATTTACAGCTACCATTCTATCAGTGAAATGTATAATTAGAATTCAGTACTTTATAAAAAAGCTACAGAAGGAGGAGCAATTTAAAAACAAAGAAGGATTATTCAGGAAGAAACTAGCTTAAAAGGGAATTGATTATGATTTTCCTCTTGATTTTACAGAAATGAGCATTTCCAAAAATGAACTGTCAGATGTCTACAAAAGCCCAGGTTTGCGTAAGAAGAAGAAAAAGGTTTTAGGTACTTGACACTCCTGGAGAAGACAGTGGATATCTACGGCCCCACATTGGTTTGTACATCAACATTTTTAAAGAAATGAAAATCTGAAGTGGCTGAAATGAATGGGATGATGATGAAGATAACAAATAGTTTTCAAACAGCCCATATCCTGTGTAAAAGAAGAAATACAAGAGACTCAAATGCCTACACATTCACAGAAGACGAAGAAAAAGCAGTCATGATATTCAATGTATATAGATTTCTTCTGAAAATATTTTCATGAGAAAAATACAAAAATTAACTGGGCAAGTTGGCTCACACCTGTAAGTCCCAGCTACTAGAGGCAGAAGTGATCACCTTGAGCTTGGTGGAAGTTGAGGCTACAGTGAGCCGTGATCACGCTATCTGCACTCCAGCCAAGCCAAGTCATTACATTTATCTTGACCTATTCTAGGCTGGCGAAGCGGGATTTGTATTAAGAATAAAACAGGCAATCTCACAGACATCTAAGTACAAAACTCAAAATAGGACCACACCAAGAAGGCCTGCCTGGGCTGGGAGGTGATTTTCCTCTCCTGCATGCCTCACTCTGGACTTCTGCTCCATGCTTGTGCCTGCTCCTGCAGATGAACATTCGGCATGTGCTCCAGGCTCCTCCAGCCTCTGAGGCTTTGGCTTGCCCTGGCAGTACCCCTGGTCCCAGCATTACTGACCTTCCCACAGATTTTCCTCTGCAAAATTCATTGAAACTCTCGTGTCATTTCCAATGAGCAGGAGAGAGAATCTGATCTGCCTAGCAGTAGGGGTGGAGTTCCCTTTGTTGTCCCTGGATTTGTAGTGCTGCTCTTTCCAGAGACTCGAGGAGGGGCCAGATATCCAAAAAGAGGTGGGGTGGGGCATCAATAATGCCAGTCTACTTCTACTGAAAGTAAAGTAGAGGTGGTGGCTCATGCCTATAATCCCAGCACTTTAGGAGGCCGACAGGCAGATCACTTGAGCTCAGGAGTTTGAGACGCAGACTGGCAACAGGGCAAACCCCATCTCTACTAATAATACAAAAAGTTAGCTGGGCGTGGTGGCACATACCTGTAGTCCCAGGTACTTAGGAGGCCAGGTGGAGCATTGCTTGAGCCCAGGAAATAGAGGCTGCAGTGAGCTGAGATCATGATGCCACTGTACTCCAGCCTGGTCGACAGAGTGAGACCCTGTCTCAAAAGCAAACCGACAAACAAACAAACAAAAAGGATAAAGTGGAAGCATCTGCATGCAAGACTGGAAGTCATGCTTTCCATCTATATTTTTTCACCTCTTTTTTCTAAAACACTGTATCTTAAGCTTTTCCCTATGTTATCAAGTACTCATAAGCATTATTTGAATGATACCAGAATCCATTATCTGGACTCATTGTCATTTAGCCATCTGCAGTTGCTGGACATACTGCCCTTTCTGCTACACTCAGTCACTCCTTCTGACTTTACTGTGTCCAGTTATCTACTAATACACACACTGGTCATTTAGGACTTAAAGTTAAGAATAGTTATTATGGTTTCTAACACTTCAAAAGAATGTATCTTCCTAAAATGGCTTGGTGTTATACTTTTGAAGCAAAATAGACAAATTGATGTTGAAATTACTGTTTTGCCTTCTTCTTGTATCTATTTTCACTTCTCTGTCATTTTGATGGAGAAAGTTTCATGTGGAAGGATTTTTATTTCAAAACAGAAATAGCATGTGACATGAGAATGGGAACACTGAAAGGTTCAACTTTCTAGTTTACTAAGTTTGTCACAAAAGCTACTGACAGTTAATCATGATTGACCTGTATTGAAAGTGAATTAACATTATGTACAACTTAAGCACTATACTTTCTATTGGATATAGAAAAATAGGTGGCGTGTTTGTAAAAGTATTGGGGTAGGAGTCAGGAAGCTTGACTGTTAGTCCCAATGGTGCTCTTCAACTGAGCACCCCCAGGCACAATTCAGCAGCCATTTCAAATAACAATGGAATTTCCTCAGGCTTTGTAGTTGGGCTGGGAATATAGATATAGATATTGTATCTATGATTTCTAAGGCTCTGCTTTCTTACCGGCTCACAGTGAGTTTTCATGCATTGGGTAACCCACTCTAACAGGCCTTACTCTGTCTCCAACCTGCTTCCCAGGCAGCTGTGAGGATCAAATGAGGGAGAATATCTGTGAAAGCAAATTGTAAAATGATTTTAAAATGTAATAAAATATGATTCATGGAAATTATTTAAAGATCTCAGAATTTAAATAAACAGTATATTAGGCCAGGCTCTGTGGCTCACATCTTTAATCCCAGCACTTTGGGAGGCTGAGGCGGGCAGATCATGGCACCAGAGATCGACCATCCTGCAAGCACGGTGAAACCCCATCTCTACTAAAAATACAAAATTATCTCACTGAGGGTGGTGGCGTGTGCCTGTAATTCCAGCTTACTCAGAGGCTAAAGCAGGAGAATCGCTGGAACCAAGGATTCAGAGGTTGCGGTGAGCTGAGATCAAGCCACTGCACTTCAGTCTGGTGACAGAGCAAGACTCTGTCTCAAAACAACAACAACAACAACAAGAAGTACATTAACCTGAATTCTCTCTGGTTTTGATTTTAAGTAGATATGAAAATTTTTCAATGGACCACTGAGATGGTTGAAAATCTTGGCTTGATTATTCTCCAAGAGAATGATACAGTGGTTTGTATGATTAATTTTCTAAAATTGCTAGCAAAAGAAAATAAAACCTTTTTGAGCTGGGTTACAATGGAGAAATGTTTTATGTGTTCACTAACTGCTGCCTTTGTTTGATTCCAGCTGCATATCATGAGTGATGAGATCTGTGAGCAGGTGGGACTGACTCACCTGGCAGAAAATAATAATGGGGCCACCAGAGGCCAGCTGAACACACAGAACTCAAGTGAGTCCCCTGAATCAATGTATCAGTGGAAAGCTGAGCAGCTAATGTCAGGTGAGAATTGATTTAAGGTGAGATTTGCTCAGGTAGTCAAACAACTTGCTGGCACAACGTGTGTTGTTAGGATTCTCTGAACCAGAAGCAAAGCCGGATACCTGACCCCGCGGATTCTCACTCCTGAAACTTTTTTAGAGTTCCTAATGAGTTCACCAGAGAAATACAAAGTAGAAGTAACTATCTTCCTAGACAATCTACTTGTTTTTCTTCCTTTTAAAAAAAAACCAAACAAACTAGCTTATATATGATTTACAATTTTGCATTCTTTTTCTCTGAATATTTTTCATAGTATGCTTTGTAAATATTATAGTTAGAAAATATTGGCACATGGGAACGGCGGTCATGGCTGGCTATAGAAAATAGGCCTGGTACACGGGCTCACACTTGTAATCCCAGCACTCGAGGCCGGAGGTGGGTGAATCACTTAAGACCAGCTTGAGCAACATGGCAAAACCCCATCTCTGCAAAAAATACAAGAATCCAAAAATTAGCCAGGTATGGTGGCATGTGCCTGTAGTACCAGCTACTCAGGAGACTGAGGTGGGAGGATGGCTTAAGCCTGTGAGGTCAAGGCTGCAGTGATCCCTGATCGGGTCACTGCACTCCAGCCTGGGTGACAGAGCGAGACCCGCGCCCAAAAAATAAAAGAAAAAAATGCAGATAAGCAAAATGTCACCTTAGAATTCTTTCCTGAAATTACCATTGGTGACATTTCTAGACTTTTCTATGTCTGAGTATACATTTCAGAAAAAGTTTATACTGACAAATGGGTTTTAACTTTTTTTTGAGACAGGGTCACGCTCTGCTGGGTACAGGCTGAGCAGTAATGGTGAGATCATGGCTCATGCAAACTCCGCCTCCTGGGTTCAAGTAATTACTGTGCCTCAGCCCCTAGTAGCTGGAATTACAGGCCTGTGCCACTACACACTGGCTAATTTCTGTGGTTTTTAGTAGCTGTGATCCTGTGTGTCTCTGGCCATCAGTTCTTCCTCTAAACTCCTCAGTGTTCCCTCTGTAGAGAATGGGCGGAATTTTCAGCTACTTGTTCATGTTGGGGCCAAAGAGGAACAGGCATAGAGTTTCAGCAAAGGAGCTGACATACAGAAGCAGTCAAGATCAGAGGATGAAAGGGTCCCACACTCTGATTGCCCAGGACCTCACTGAGTCCTCACATGCATGACAAGATCTGTCCCACCAAGTCAGAGGCAAAACCAGCTCTGCCCCAGGAAGGGGCTAAAAAGAAACCCATATCTCCTCTTGGGGGCCTCCCTGATAGGATGACTTCTGCAAGCCTGGTACATCCTAACAGGAGAGCTGGTCCACGCCAAGCTGGGAGAGCGCTGGGTGAAACCTCGTCCCCTCCACGCACGCACAGCCCGGAGCTGCTCTCCAAGGACCCCTCAGCCACAGAAGGCACTGGTCCTCCTACAGTGCTGCCCCACCCCCACCAATTTGCTTCCTGGGGGTGCAGTCAGGGGTGCCTCCTTCAGGCTCTGCCCCTCACACCCACTCCTACACAGCTACTCTCCCCTGTCGGCTGCCCCAGACCAGATTGTTTGGGCCTCTGCCTCCACAGGCCCAAACTACCATCTCTTCTGCTCTCAGCACTACACCAAGGCCTTGAGGACAAAACCAGCCCTGGCCTCTGGGCACCTAGCAGCTGACAAGATGGGTGAAGTGGCGAGATGGAAGTAGGGGTCGGGGAAGAGGCCTCAGAAGATGGGGATGACTGACAAGACTTCATAGGAGCTGTGACCCTTCAACCTCTCCTGATCCCCAGCTGATCCGCCATCAGACTCCTCTGCTAAAACTTTGACCAAGCGGTGGTGAGAGGACCCTGGTGGGTCCAGGTGGTTCTGGGGTGGCCCTGGCCTGTGACCTTGGCCCTGGAGCTGGAGGGCAGAGGCCGGGAAGAGATGACCTCCCTTAGGCCCTCAGGCTGCCCAGCCCCTGAAGTGGGATGATCCTCCCAACAGGCTGCATCCACTGACCACGCAGAGTGGGTGCCACTCTCTCTCTTCTTCAGGCGGCAAGCAGCCCAGGCCTCGCGTGGGACTGTGTGTGCCAGGGTCTGCACATCCTGAGGAGGCAGAGGGCCTCTCTTGGTAGAGAGATGGTCATCCCAGACCTCAGTCAGTACCTCCTTCCTCCGTAGGCCCCCTCCATCTGTCCACCTGCCTCCTCCCCGGGCTCACTGCCTCGCATGCCCTGGATCTGAAACTCGCCTCCTCTCCTACTTCTGAGCCTGCCTGATAAGTTTCTAGCCCAGCTCTCTGGTCCTGGTTACAATCTCTGCGCCCAGATTCTGCCTTGTCAGAAGTCTGGGAGGTCTCTGCCTGGTCATGGGCCTTCTCTTGGTCTGCTCTATGGCTACTCCTAGCCCCGAAGCTGGCATTCTTAAAGTGATTTCTGGAGATGAAAGTTATCCGTGTCAGGAGCTGGGAGGGTCTCAAGATAGACTCATAAGAGGGAGGAAGATTGAAAAGGGGTCAGAGTGGGAATGGGGGCTGCCAGAGCTGCTGAGGGCAAGGCCCACCCCCAACCCTGACCCCCAAACCCAGCCACAATGCCAGTCAGCCTCAGGCCAGAGGGTGTGAGCAACGGGGGCCCTGGCTGCTCTACAGTGGATCAGAGCCACTGGGTGTGGGGGGTCTTCCAGGGGAGGTGTGGGGATGCCCGGGCAAGGTAAGGCAGGCTCCCAGGACAGAGACTGAGGCTGACCCCTGCAGCCCCCCTACTGCAGGGGGGAACACCGGGATAGGCAAGGGTCTTAACCTAGAAAGCCCCAGCAGCTCCTGTGCCCATCAGGACACCGTTGAGGCTTGGCAGTGGTGGAACCCAGGAATGGTCTTTGAACCCACGACCTGCAAGGGGAAGCCAAGGACAGTCCTGGCCCGTAGGCTCCCCTACCTGTAGGCAGTAGGCAGACCCAGTGAGGGGACCCCAGAAGCCCAGACCATGAGCTTACCTGGCCAAAGACAGCAGCCAGCACCAAGACATCAAAGAGGGCAGGTAGAAAGGTCATCACATCGGGGTTGACTGCAGCCAGCACCAGGTTCCTCTGTACTTCTGGAACACATAGGCCTCTCCTTCCTATCCCTGAAGCACCCCTGCCCCCACCCCAGCACCCCAAAGACCAGCCTAATAGATGCACTTGTCCTGGATCAGCCCCGCTGTCCAAGCAACTGCAATTTCTCACTAGAGTGCCAGGGCAGGGCAGGGTGTAGAAGGGGTCCCTGGAAGATGCTCCCCGGGATGCCCTGATGCCTAAAACGTTCCCCATTGGGCCTTCTCAGGGAGGGAGGGTTATGGCAGCCTGTTCTCTCCAGCCACCTCCATCACCGCGGGAGCTCTTACAGACGTCACAGGAGAGAACTGGATCACTGGAGCCAGGACCAGCATGGACGCAGCTCTGGGGCTGAGGCTAAGTGGACTCTGGGAGACCATCACTCTGTCTTCAAGCTTTGGTCTCCTGACCCTCTACAAGCCAGGCTATTTCAGGCTTTGCATGAGGCCTTGCACAGAGACAGAGTTCAAACACAGCTGGTCAACACAGTGGGCTTTAGGGAGGCGGCACATATCTAGTGGTGGGGGCTGGGTACTAGTAAAGGGAGGCTCTGGGGTTAGCACGGTCTGTCTGGAGGTGGCACAATAGGACATGCACCATGTGAGGAGAGAGGGTCCACCTGGAAGTGTGGACCAGCCAGATGGCCACCAAGCTGGATGGCCACCGCCAGAGCCTGCATGACAGTAGAGGGGGCTGGGAAGGGATAGAGGACAGCTGAAGGGCAAGGAACCTGGTTTCCTTCATACAGACATGTGAGTCTTCCCAAAGTGGGTCTTCCTCAAGTGGGTGAGGGGGTATTCAAGACATACCTCCAGTCCACCTCAAACCGTCTCAGGAGGCCACCACCAACTCACACAGGCCAGCTGCATTGTCACAGTGACCCCAGAAGAGCACAGCCCTGTCCTTCAGATGAATAAACAGAGGGAGAGACACATCTCACAGCCAGGAGGTGGGACTCAGACCAGGTCCAGCTGCAGTGCTGCCTCGATGGCTCCCCCTGCACCTCTTCCGGGACTCAGTTCCTGCTAACAAGTGAGCACCTGAGTATGGGTGAAATAGGTGCTATTATCCCGGTCCAGCTGCTGGGGAAAGGGAAGCAAGGCACAGGTGACTTGCCCAAGGCCAATGTGACAGGGCTGGTTCAACCCCATCTGTCTCAGCTACCATATCCCCATGGCAGAGGCTTTACTGTGATCCAAACCTGGAAGGTGGAACTCCTTCCAATGTCCCACCCAGGGCACACAGCATGCAGCCCCATGTTTGGGGAGATGACAGTGTGGGGAGGTGACAGTGTGGGAAACAATCTGGCTAGGCCAAGGCCTCATGGAGCCCAGGGTTTCCTAGGGCCAGGACCACTCTGGAGCCCACTCCAACACCTACTGTAAACCTGGAATCTGCACCTGCAGGAGATCAGGAGAGGGGTTCAGCCTCCAATGCACCTGCAGCAAGGTGAGACAGGCACAGGTGGGTGCCTTGCTTCCAACCAGCCTCAGGTGGGCAGGAAGCAGATCTCCTGCCTGACCTTCCTCTCCTGCCTCCCCAAAGCAGAGGAGAAGGGGCAGCCGCCCATCAGGCCATTGCCCACATTGAAGCCACTGAAGCTAGGTCCCAACAGGCGAGTGTGACCCCTGACTATCCCAGGCCTGGGCCAAGGCAGTCCTGTCTCTGGTGAGGACCTGGTAGACAGGAGATGTGATGTCCCCAAGTGGCTCTATAAACCTCTGATTGAGGATAATCAAGGAAATGGACAAGAACATCATGCCTAGTCAAGACCCTGGCAGGCACAAGGGGAACCAGGGGCAGGCAAAAGTCAGTTTGGGCCCAGGCCTAGCCCCTGGAAGGATGGTGGATGAGGGGCCAGCACAGTGAAGGGGAATGGATGGCCATGGCCTGGGTGGTCAGGGCTGTCAGCTCCTGCAGCCCCTGCAGAATGTCCACCCAAGCCTCGCTCTGCACTCAACCTTCTGCCTGGAGCCACGGGTGCCTGGACACTGGCCTGCAGTAGGGATGGTGGTAGGAAAGGCAATGTGGCCACATGTGGGTGCCTAAGCATGGGATAGAGGGGTATCTTGCCCCCAAAGAAATCATAGAGGCCAAGAGCTTAAGCAGATGTGACACCATCAATAAACCCCCTTGTCCTGGGTCATATCAATTAAGTCAGCGCCTACCCTGACCCTGAAGCTGCGGCTCAGTATGGTTGAGACTCACAAAGAGATGTTAGTGCTGGGCAGGGGGCCTGGCCCAGACTGCGATGTCCAGCAAAGCTGTGGGCTGAACAAGAATCTCTGAAGATTAGTCCAGGACAAGGACAGCTGTGTCTGGGCAGGGAGTGGGGGCAATGCCCAAGGTGCAGGAGGCCTGAGGACATTTAACTAAGTAGGATGCCAGGTCAGGATGTGCAGAAGAGAAGGTGGCATGGCAGCATCCTGCCCGAGGCCAGACTATAAACCTAGGGGCCACCTTGTCGAGCCTAAACCATGCTGCCACCCAGATGCCATCCTTCAAATGTGAGGCAGGGATGGGAGAGCCCCCAGAACCCTCATCCCTCCCACCCCAAGCTGGTTTCCATCCATCACCAGAAGGAAAGGTGACTCTTCTACGGGGCACAGCATGCCAGGTTCTCTATCACCTGCGGGAAGGGGCCAGGCGGAGGGGGAGCTGTGGCTGGATGAGAAAGAACTCAGATCCCTCTCTGTCCCTACCTGACAGGTGACTTCCAGCAAGCTGCTTTCTTTGCCTGGGGCCAAGGAGAATCACAGGGGAGAGGCTAGGTTAAAAGAGCTCCACCCTGGAGCCCAGAGCTACCCACAGAGAAAACCCCCCAGCCTCCTGATTCTGCTCCCAGCTCTCACTGCTGGGATAACATCCTCACCATCAGAGAGGCCGTGGGAGGCAGAGGCTGACCCTGCTCCTTCAGGCACCTCAGCGGGTTTGGGTCTGCCTTCATCATGATCAGGGAGTGGGTCCCTGGGATCACAAAGGTGAGGGGCAGCTTCTTGGGCTCCAGGTGCTACAAAGTAGACCCTACAGGGCACCAGAGCTAGAAGGTTTTAGGGAGGCTGGGTGCGGTGGCTCAGGCCTGTAATCTCACCACTTTGAAAGGCTGAGGTGGGCAGATCACGAGGTCAGGAGATCAAGACCATCCTGGGTAACATGGTGAAACCCCATCTCTACTAAAACTACAAAAAATTAGCTGGGCCTGGTGGCATGCACCTGTACTCCCAGCTACTCAGAAGGCTGAGACAAGAGAATCACTTGAACCTAGCAGGCAGAGGTTGAACAGGGCCAGGACCTGAGCTCTGCCTGGCCATGGTGACTCTGAGCCAGGCAAGCAATCTGTCGCTGTGTCTCACGGGGGATGTCAGCATTACCTCTGGAGTCAAAGTAGGTAAGCCAGGGTAACCAGAGCTCCCAGTAGGGACCAAGACCAAAGGACGCAGGGGTCAGGCCTGTCCTGGAAGGTCAGGCTGGATGAGGGGCTCTGTGAAGCTGGGGCAACTGAGGGCCAGCCCTTCAGGTTACAGGCATCTAGGTCCTGGTCTAGACCCTCATATGCCATCCAGAGACCCAACCCTAGGGACAATTCCTCCCAGGCTGGTAGCAGAGAGTCGATCCTTGTACTCACCCCACCAAAAGCTCTGAAATGAGGGGGCCTGCGGCTGGGGGAGTCTTCAGGAAAATGTTCTCAGGGGCAGGTATGGTTTTCGCTGGGCCTTAGGGCAGCCAGAGAGGTAGCTGACAGGCCCGCTCACAAAGTGTGCCGGAGCATGCAGGAGGGACACAGGTGTAGTGGTGAGAATGTTCTGGAAGACAGCAGGCAGTCTCTTACTCACCGATGGGGCCAAGTACGGTCAGGTCCACACACCAGGAGAAGCTGGTATCCACACGCTGGTGCACTTTGTTTCTTGTTTTAGAGACAGGGTCTTGCTCCGTTGCCCAGGTTGGAGTGCAGTGGTGCAATCATAGCTCACTGTAGCTTTGACCTCCTGGGTTCATGCGATCTTCCCACCTCAGCCTCCTGAGTAGCTGGGACCACAGGTGCATGCCACCATGCCTAGTTTTATTTTTTGTAGAGACAGGGTCTGGCTATGTTGCCCAGGCTGGTCTCAAGAGCCTTCCACGTCAGCCTCCCAAAACACTGGGATTACAGGGACAAGCAACCACTCTTGGCCATGCTGGTGCATTTTGGCTGCCATGGTGCACAGGAGTTATGAGCTCCAGGGGTACAGAATCTGCTTCTGGACCTCTACCCAGGCCTGCACCAGACTGACCCCTGGGCTGCAGGGAGCAGGTGTGGAGAGAACGCAGCAAGCAGAGTGGGCTAGCCAGTGGTGGAGACCCAGGCTGGGACTAGGAGAGGTAGGGCTCCAACCCTCAGCCTAGTGGCCCTACCCAACCCCTTGGGGCCAAGATGATTTCCTAGGAAGCCAGGCATGGAGGCCAGCATGCACCTGAACTGAGGACAGAAGACTCTGATGAGAGGGAGGGGGAGGCCTCTGACATAGTTTGGATACTTGTCCCATCCACATCTCGTGTTGAAATGTGATCCCCCATGCTGGAGGTGGGGCCTATTGTGTGAGGTGTTTGGGTCATGGTGGGGGACCCCTCTTGAATGGCTTAGTGCCCTCCCCATGGTAATGAGTGAGTTTTCTTCTTTTGTTTTTTCTTTTTCTTTTCTTTTTCTTTCTTTTCTTTTTTCTTTTTTTTTTTTTTTTTGAGACAGAGTTCGCTCACAGCCCAGGCTGGAGTGCAGTGGTGCAATCTCAGCTCACTGCACCCTCCATCTCCCAGCTTCAAGTGATTCAAGGAGTGAGTTTTCTATCAGTTCACAGGAGAGCTGGTTGTTAAAAAGAGCCTGATGCCTCCTCTCTCTTTCTTCCTCTTTCACCATGCGACAGGCCTGCTCCCTCTTCACCTCCCGCCAGGAGTAAATGCTTCCTGGGACTGTTTGCACCAGGGTCTGCACACCCGTCATCCCAGACCTCAGTCAGTACCTCCTTCCCTCTGCAGGCCCTCTCCCTCTATCCATCTGCCTACTCCACATGCCCTGATCTGAAGCCTGCCTCCCCTCCTCATGGAGCCCTCCAAGATGCTCCTGGCCCCAGATCTCTGGTCCCACAGCACCTTCTGGGCCCAGAGTCTGCCTTCTCAGAAGTCTGGGAGGCAGGGCTCCACCTGGTCATAGCCTTCTAGCTCTGCTCTAGGCACTCCTGGCCCCAAAGCCTCTAACCCGCTGGGCGTCTTCATCTCCAGCTATGCCGTGGCTCTCCTCATCCTGAGCCTCCTGTTCGTCAGAGTTTCCCTTGTCCTGGTGCGTGTCTGGCTGGGCCCAGGCTGCTTCCTGAGGGGCAGGCTTAACCTTTGACACTCTGAGCCTTTGAGCCAAGCTGAGGGGTGTGCAGGTCCCTTTACACCCCTGATTCCCCCATCCAAGCCCAGCATCTCCTCATCCTCCAGCTGGGACCACAGGGCTTGGGGCCAGAGGATTAGGCCTGATCCCAGTGTCCCTGCCTTTCTTGTCAAGGTGCTAAACTTGAGGGCGTGCCTTGGGTGCTGGCGTTCCCAGGAACTCAGAGCCAGAGAGGGCCAGGCACCAGCCCGAAGTCACACAGCCAGGGGCTTCTTCCCTCCTGGACCCCCAATAACTGGACTTGCAGGGCTGGGAAAGAGGTGGAGTGGGGGAAAGCAATGAATTGTCAACCCATGCAGGGAGCCCCACTCCCATTCCCAAGGTGCATAAAGTCAAGGAACACCTGTTTCCACGTCCATGTTCACTCAGGGCACTGCTCCAAGTGCTTGGCACTCACACCGGCCTCCCGCCCTCCATGCCACAGGTATTGGTCTCATTTACAGAGGGGTAAATGGTGGCCAAAAGCCTCCCCCAGCACACACAGCTAGGCCACACAGAGGTCTTAGGTGCAGCTGAGGGGTCCACAGTCTCTGCTGCCCCTTCTGCCACTCATGCTCCCAGGGACCACGCTTCGGAGAGGGAGGAATAAGAGTGAGCTGGGTGCTCACACATGGGGCACAGGGGACTACGGAAGGGTCAGCCAGGAGGAAAGGGCAAGGTCTGATCCGGTAGGTACACATCACACAGCCCGCGGAGTCAGGAGAGCCAGGGCCAGGTCCCAGCTCTGCAGCTGCTTGGTATGTGACCATGGTTAAGTCGTCTCTCAGGACTCTCCATGCACTTTGTGTGCTGTGTGCACCTTCTAGAATGAGCCTGGACCCTGGCTGGCCTCATACTTGCTGCATAGGCTGCAGATCCCAAGTGCTTCTGCAAGGGGCTTTGCTTCTCCTCATAACAGTGGCACAGGCTGGCCACGTGCTCTGGGGGTAGAATGGAGTAGCTCTGGAGGTAGCAGGTGGGGGCTGGGCTTGGGTTCCTGGCCCAGACAAGGCAGAGTACATCTCAGGGTCACAGGACCTTGGCAGCAGCCCTTGGCCCACAGGCTGCCCAGCTGCCCACCCACAACCCATACCTTTGGGCGGCCCCAGCTACTGCAGTTCACTGGCCAAGGATCCGCCATCGACACTGTGCTTGGCCACACTGGAGAGGATGAAACTCAGCACTGCTACTGTGACCTTCATATTGCTTGACTCTGATGGACCCGTGAGTGGGACAAGGGGTTTCACTGTGGCCCCAGCCACTTCCCAGTTGCCCTATTAACTTCAGCTCAAAGCTCCCAGGCCTCCTGAAGCCACAGGCACTGCTCCTGCTCCACCAGAAGCTGGCAGAGGACAGGAAGGTGGGACTGTCAATGTCTTTCTTTCCCTCATGCTCCTCCACTAGGGATGGTAAGTTAAGGATGCTGCAGGGAGGGGTGGGGGCCCCTCTGTACCAGGCACCAGGCTGAAGTCCCAGGGTTGCTTGGGGCCTGTGGACTCAGCGGGGTACTCACCAAACTTGACATCAGCTGTGAGCTTCAGGATCTGCTCATACTATGGGAAAAGGAGACCTTCAGAGGGTGCCAGTACCCTATTCACCAGCCCCTCACCCTTAGCCTGGATCCTGCAATAAGAACAGACAGGCTGAAAAGAAGTATGGGAGGTGCCCAGAGAGGTTTCGAGGCTGGGTCACCCATCTCCCCGGGCCTAGTGCAGAGCTTCAGGGCACTAGGGGTCATAAGGTCATGGGACAATGGGGCGCTGGGTCTTGTACTCACATCATTCCCCCGTCCCAGCAGCTCTTTAGTACCTGGCTGCAGAGCAGCTGCAACTTCACAGAGGACTGCAAGAGAATTCCTTACATCAGCCAGGCTGGCGAACCTCACCCCTCCTTCCTGGGGACTGGCTCAGAGCAGGCCAGCTGCTGATCAAGGTCACAAAGCATGGTAGCACAGGCTGAGAGCACTGAGGTCCCAACCCCAGAGAAAACTCACCATCATCTACACCCACAATCCCCAGCCCCAGCACCCCTCCTCCACCCAGAGTAGACCCTGTGCACTCAACCATCTTGGCCAGCATGCTGATCTCTGCCAGGACCCACTTGGGACAGTCCAGATCACCACAGAACCGAAACCTCTGCAAGGGCGGGAGGCAGGTAATCAGGCTGGAGGGAAGGCTGAGGTGTGGCCAGGATCCGTGTCTCCCACACTTCTGTCTAGCAGGGACCCCTGGTCCCCATCATAATAAGATACCCTCTGGCCTCTTGTTCTCCCCTATCACCAGGCTGTTGAGTGAACTCTCTCCCTGACCCACCCTGCTACCAAACCCTGCTCTAAGGTCTACTCCAGGCATTCGTCTGCTCAGCAAACATCAATTGAGTGCCTTCTCTGTGCTAGCTCCCACTCTAAGCGCTGGGGTACAGCAGGGGACAAAACAAAGTCCTGGGCCTCACACAGATGGGTGATCTCTCTCCCCTCTTCCCCATACCCACACAACTCCAGCCACTCCAGCTTCCCTGCTGCTGCTCAGGGACACCAGCCTTGCTCCCGCCGCCATGCCTGCTGCATTCTCTGTGTGGCTTGCTATCCTTTATTTCATTCCACTCTCGGCTGAAGTGACCCCTCATCAGACCAGCCCCCCTCATTTTTTTTTTTTTTTAAAGACAGAGTCTCACTCTGTTGCCCAGGCTGGAGTGCAATGGTACAATCTTGACTCACTGTAACATCCGTCTCCCGGGTTCAAGCAATTCTGCCTCAGCCT